CTCATGTCCGCCTTGGGTTTTGAAGCTTCTTTAACCTTCTTTCGCCTTCTTTTGACATGGGCAGAAACATGCTGCTCTCCTTCGATAACAGCCGAATCAAACACGCTGTCTGAGGGTTCGTTACCAACAAGGTCGTTGCTAACAGGTAAACTGACATTCAACAATGAACAAATAGATGCAGGAGCTGACAACTTGCCAGTGGGTTCTGGCAAGTTGAGTACGGACACCAGGGAAGCCCCTCTTTATCCCGCGTCTCTGTCAACCGCCTGTTCTGTCGATATAGCCATGACTTCCCAAAATGGAAACCATGACAATGACACAAATGCAATTCCCATCGTTCGTAAAATTCAACATCCAACTTGAAAGCAAAGTGGGTTCGACAATCGGCATCCTGTAACGGTGTAGGGTTTATTATACTGTAGAAATAGCAACTTACCGTTTATCGGGAACGTTGCTACGCCTGCCATGAACACAGGGATAATGCACGTACCGGTACGGGTACTCATCTGGCAACCCCTTCCACTTTTGCCGTTCATAATGCTGTGCAGTCACAGTCGTATGCTTGCAAAAAGCTGTGGCAGTTCCAAATTTCTTTACATCGGACTCAACCTCATCAAGTTTCCGATAATAGTACGCACCAAAAGACATAAAATCCCAGATGCATCCACCATGATGACAGTTACAAATGTGGCGCCAAGTGATTTCCATTACTCCTGTAGTCTATCACAACAACTAACTATGAGAACCACATTAACCTTCTTCAATACAAAACATACACCGAGTTAACATGTGTATACTATATGTATACAAACCGCCATCTAATGGCAACCTCTCCAGTTGGCCTAGCATACCTACCGAACTAAACCCGCCGCTAGGCAAATCTCAGATGTGAGAGTCCTGGTCCGTGGTTTGTTCCGTAATTTTCGGTTCCGAGTTGCTTATAGGAAACTCGACCGCCACCTTCCGTTACTGCTATTGTCCGGACAGCGCATACACCGCAAGGGATTTATTACAATGCCCGCGATGACTTCCTACTTGATTCGAATGTTGTCCCGTCCCTTCGGATCAGAACTTTGCCTGTTTCTTGCGCTCTCGGTACTCTCCTTAGTGGTTTGCATTTTTGAGTCTATGACATACTCTGACGATATTGTCCGTGAAACACCTACTTCAACAACGGACTTCGACCTAATCAAAAACTCGGAGGATGGTGTTTTAGAGTATTCTTCTCTTTTTGAAATAAAGTCCGTGTTCGTTTCTTCAGTTTTATGCCTCTTTAGCGGCATTTTCCTGTTAAATAAGCTTTCTTTCTTCATCTTCTTCGGAAAGCTATCTGATACGGAACGCATTCATTTGTCTCGCATGTTTTTCAAATTTGTCCTCCTGCGTTTTGTTATTTTGTCTGGAGCCATAAGCGTTTCACGCCTGGTCAGCATTTTCGGTTGGTTGGTGTGGTTTGGCTCTTTGATGCTTCTACATTCGTGTGCCCTGCTTATTACTTCCCGTTGTGGCCAGTTCTCTGCTTCCTCCAGAATTTCGGTCCGCGAGTGGTTCCGTATCTCATTCGCGCTTCTTTTCCTTGTTGTTGGCAACTGGTACCTTTTGATCGGAGGGTTGACCCATCGATTCATATTATCCGAGGTCAATCCCTTAAACCAGTCAGAAATTTCGAAAGAAGCACTCGGTCGTTATGGCAGCATTTGGAAAACTCCTACTGCTCTTGCGATTTTAGCGGCTCGGATCACAGGAAAAAAGGCTCATTTTTATGGCACGATTGATGTTGTGGCCTACATAACTGCTGAATCACTGCTTTTATTCTGCCGATCTGCTCGTCTGATCATCGGTTTACTCTTCCAAGCGTACGATCGGTGGAGCCTTGTCAATGGTCGCAGCTGGCCGCAGCAAGCCAACGTGCTCTATTATGTGGAGTTCATACACATTGTGTTCCTCTACGCAATTGAAATTCTCCACTATCTTCACCTTCTCCTTTGGAGCCGAATTTTTTCCATAGCCAGCTTGATAGTGTTTCTTCACATACGTTGCACCTATTCGCTGTTGGTGGACAGGATACGTCGACACTTGTTTCACAGGCGGTTATCGCGGTTTATTAAGCTCAGTTTCAGCTACTGTGCTCTGGATAAATCAGTAAGTATATTCTTATTGTTATGTTCCAAACTATTTACAATGCCACTATCATGCAATGGAGAAGACATTCCATGGTCATAAACAAGGTAGGACAAGACAGGATCCAGGGACGAAACAAGCTTCCGATTAACGAGCGTCCCCTTTCGTGTGCCAGTAGGCGAAGAGCCCCCAGCACTAGGACTTGATAGGATATGCTTGATTTTATGATGGTGAAAAAAACAAGCAAGTGCAAGACGAACAACACACCATCATGAAGTAATGAGGTTAGGGGCTGGGAGAGGCCCAGTCCATGTTTGTCTAGGCAACGTTTAAATTCCTCTAGTTTCGCATGCTAATAGAGCGGAAGGAAGTCTATTCTAAACAGGCACAACCCGGTTTGCAAACAACCTGGCTCTTAACTCCAGCCTTGATCTGTACTGCTTCAATTTCATGCAGTGGCCTCGCAAGTTGTCTGACGCAGCTGGTTCAAACAGGTCGATTGGCCTGAGACTTTTCGATATCGTTTATATCCCTTATCTTCTTGAGTTGTTCAACTTTGCTCACATCCTTGGGTATAGTGCGTACTTCCTGAATGTATTACTCCTTGTTCATGAGCACTGCTTAAGAGTCGTTATCTGGTTTCCCTAAGTCGACGTTCGTAACACGGGATTCACGAAGTGCCAGCTGATATTGGAGGTTTTTTAAATCACGTTTTCTCTAGTTGACGCTGTTTTAACCTTGTGGATAACCTCGCCGGTCGGTTGCTGAAATGACAAAGCCCTGCAATCTAGATGTCACTGGTTCAAACTCGCGTAGGGAACCGGGCGACGTTCACGCTATCCCTAGCCAACGCGCGACTGGTGGTGGTTACTTGTCAGCGAAGCGTCGGTGCGATCTACTGCTGATTATTTTTTTTGTGGATAATCGTTTTGTTTTTGTTTTAAATACGCCTGTCGCTACTGGTTCGACGCTCTCTAAAATGATCAAAAGTTCCTAGATTGACCTGTAAGCAAACTGTCAAAGTTTTCAGGGGGTACTTTTCTGTCAAGTCTAAATGACAATGCCTTCAGGTTGCACGTCCAGTACTTTCACCACGTACCTATCAAGGCTCTTGTTTGTTCTCCAGCGAATTTTCTGGAATGTGCACTTTCGATCGAGTGATTTTTCAGACTTCAGGGTGTACGGTGAATTATTAGCTATCTATTTGCAAAGTGGCGTTTGTTCCGCGTACCCGATTTCGCCATGTCCGTTGAACTTCATTGGCCCTCCACCCTGGATTGTTCCTTTGCGGAATCTCGACGCAGGCGTTGAGAGATTGTTTACTGATTTGAGAGCAGCTCAGTGACCAAACTGGGTGCCGTTGGTCCGTCTCGCCTTCCGGGTTGGAGTCCACGTGACTCGCCTTGTGCTTGGCTCGAGACTTTACAGGACATGGCTCGCAACCGACACCAGTGGCGCGTCTGTTGCCGTCTTCTAATCGGATTGTCTGTTTAAAGTGTGTTTGGTGCTGAGTTATCTGCAGGGTAATGGCTGATTATGACGCGTGGCAGTGAAAGCCGCAAGGAAGCTGTCTCGCCGATGCCGCCTTATCTTTGCACGATAGCCAGCTGTTTGTGACGGAATGTTGTCTACACAAGGTGTAGGCGCCTTGACCCTGAATGCTTGCTTAGGGCATTAAGGTTTTCAGGTAAGTCCCCCTTTTCTCCCTCTTCTTATTCTTTATTTCCTAGGTCCTCATGGTTGTATGGCAGCGAAGCATCAGTTCAAATGGCTGATGTACTGCTGTTGATGATGATGATGAGCAGCTCAGTCCACGATGCATCATCTCGCTAGAGTGGCCCCATCGTTTGGCATGTGGCTCGCACCTTCACACTGCTAAGTATCGTTGCAAGACCACCAGCTACCTGTTGACACATTGGCCGTTGGTAGCCGGGAGACCTAAAGCAGTTGATCAATTCATTTGCATTGGTAACTGCATCAGTAACAACGGGCGCATAACCACTTAACTTGGTTCACTTCCTACAAAGACTAACATTGCCTTGTTAAATCAGCAACCATTATGACGTCAGGGGTTTCCCTTGGCCTGAAGGGACTTGCTTACTAGGTCGCAGTGAAATCCGTCCTACTCAACGGTATTGAAACTTGGCCCCTTCCATACGAGGACCTGTGTCTTCTAGTATTTGATCGTTGTTGTCTGCGAAGCATTGCTAGTGTCGGATGGCATTAGCCTGTCCGCAACGATTATGTGCGTAGGCGCGTACTAAGCAGTGCTGATCAAGCTTGTTTCTTGGAACAACAATGTACTGAACAAATTGCGTTGGATTGGTCATGTGCTATGTATGCCTGGTCATTGCTTACTGAGGGCTTTGTTTTGTCTGCCAGATGTAGCGTGGCACAACGCTCCAGATGGACGAAAGTTGACTTTGCAGCATTAATTGAAGTCACTGACGACCAAACTGGGTGTCCTCGGTCCTTGAAGGCTGGAGTACACATGCCACCTTGTGCTTGGCTCGAGACGTTACAGGGCATAGGTCGCGCTTGGCAGCAGTGTCGTGTCTGCTGCCGTCTCCTAGTAGGACTGCCTATCTAAAAGTATGTTACTGAGTTATCTGCGGGGTAATGGCTGATTATAATGCGGGGCAGTGAAAACCGCAAGTAAGATGTCTCGTCGATGTCGCCTTATCCTTGTACGTTGGCCAGCTGTTTTTGACGGTATCTTTTTGATACAAGGTGTAGGCAATTTTCTCCTGAATGTTTGCCTAGGGCATTAAGCTTTTGCGCTAGATCTCCATTTTCTGCATGTTATCATCATTCATTCCGTAGCTCGTTGTAGTTGTGCGGGAGCGAAGTACCAACTCAGATGGTTGATGTGCTGCGGTTGTTGGTGACGACAATTTAACAAAAATATTGCAGCAGCAATCCAGCAACGCTGACAATTCTTCGTTCACTGGAAGCAAGCCTGCGTGTTATTTTAAGGGACCCGAGTCTGAATTGGCCGTCTTCAGACGAACTGATGCTGAAGAAAGATATCTGCAGTACACCAGTGTGCCATCGACTCTTCGCAACCACGAGACGGCCACTAGTCGCGCGTGAGCTAAGGATACTGCAAGATCACCAGCACTGAATTCAACGGTCGAACGGATGTACACCCATAGGGTCAGCCTCGGAAGATTTATGTTTGTCTGTACACAATAGCGTGAGAATCTAGCGGAACTAACGAGGCAGGGGAAAGCGTTCCAACCCTTAATCCCATGCTGACTATGCAGTTAATAATCGTGACGGCTCCAGCAAACTTGTACTTTGAGAACTTCAAAGCCGTTGTATCCCTTAAATAAATTTAAAGGCACATTAATACGATGGGCGGCACATGCATGCATTTTATGTTTCCACCTTGCTACCATTAATAACAAACGGCGTGCATATTTGTTTAACAGTGAGTGCAAGTAAACAAGCTTTGGGTGCGAAGTGAATGACATATGTTAGTCTGGGCGCATATTGCATGCACTGCGGGTCCTTTCGGACTCACTTTCAGTTCTTCAGATGCAGTGTACGTCGGACTTGTTTTGCCCCTTTCCAACTCTGAGATCGAAGTGATTGTGCATTAGTTTGGCTTGTCTTCTACCACTTTTTACAGGGTTCTTTTAGTTCAGTGAGCGGAAGTCAAATCACTTTGGATCAGACCCAGCTACTTTGCTGGCGCTACTGAATACGCTGATACATATCACCGCGCACATCGGCATGTGCGGTGTTTTTTAGAAGCGTAAGTGCTGTTACTTTAACAGCCTGACACGCCACTCGTTTTACGGTCATAGAACAACTGATGGCAGTGATTCGTCTGTTTACTTAGTTGGATAGCGCTAGCATCTCTAGTGGTCGCATCATCGAGAGGATTGCTGCATACATTACTAAAGTTCATAAGAATTTGACCGCTTCGGTCACTTACGGAGACGGTGGGATAAAAGCCTACCAGTCGTATGAAAGCATTGCATCACTGCTGCACGAGTTGTGTTGTTATATGGATCGGAGACCTGGTCGTCGCGCTGAAGACATTAAGAGGTTGGTCATGTTCGATTACCGATGTCTGCGCGGTGTTGTTCATATGTAGTGGGAGAACCGAGTGAGTGACGCCGGAATTCTCCACCTGTTGTTTGACACCAAGCTGTCTGCGATCTCGGAGTACCTGTTGCATCTCCCCCCTGTGGTTCGGTCATATACTCCGCGTACCGGCTAGCTAGCTGCCTTGGTGTGTGTTCTTTTCACACTGCGACGCTTAGTTGCGTGGAACTTTAATGTGGCCACTCAAGGACATGGCGTGGATGGCGATTTAGTGATTGGATACATCAGCGATTAGTGCTATGTTGGATATGACGCTGTTACGGGATTAATATGTTCTTGAATTCCTTACTCCTGGTTCTCGACTGCTTCATTTGTCGATTTTACCTTTCGTTCTCTGACTTTGCCATAGAGTTGCAATTATATGTATGCTTATTAACTTGGCGACACACATCTTGGTTCTGTGGTTGAGCACAACTCATTGGCTTGTTATTCCTCTCCTCAAGTTAATACCTTCCAGCAGTAGGGTAAAATCTGACCACGACTCCTCTGCGATTATCTGTGGCCGCAGATACGCCATCTTATATGTTTGAAGGACACGTTATAACTTCTACAATTACGGTAGCCCGCCCCGACCGGCTTCGTGTTCGACTCTGCATTCACGGCTCCGAGGTGAACTTTCTAACTACGTTGCTGATCGGACTTTTCAGCCGAAATCTTTGGACCGAGACTCTTGATCAGTCCCTCGTTTGCGGTTACTTTCCAACTCGGTATATCGATAACTATTCCTACACAGGAGGGAAACAGAACGAGAAAACTAAGGAATGGTAATGATAGAGATCTGTGGGCCGATTTATTTTTCCCGCCCGTTCCGAGGGAAGCGTGTTTTCCAAACATATGCACCTTTGGCCTTCGATTCAGCAATCTGCTCTACGAGGCATTTAGTCGGGGAAAATTTGTTTTAGAGGCTAACCAATGTCCTGGACATTATAATCCTTCGAAAAACAACGAGGAATTGGCATAGGCTGGAACAGTGACTGCAGAGCCTCGTAGAAGTCTGCTTATTGCGATCCACACACAGCTCTACTTGATATACCTTTTTAGCTAGCTCAACTTATATGCATTCCTCCGAGACTGAGTTTAGATTTCTGTGCATCTTCTTAGCTAAGAACCGCCTGGCCATCACTAGATGACAGTGAAAGTGAGTCTGCTTGAGGGCGAGTGAACTTGGTATCCGTAGCCCGTGCGCAACTAATGGTAGTCCTTCTGCAGCGAAGCATCGGTGCGGCACACCGATGTACTGTTGATGCCACTGTTTCTTTTTCTTTGCCTTTAATGCGTTTCCACAGCTACCTGCCAGGAAAGATGGCATTCGTCCCTTTCTACTTCTAGAGTCGTTCTATTTTCTCAATTGCTACTAACCTCTTCATGTTGATCCTTATAAGCCACGCTCTTTTTCATACCTGGTACCCACTTTCGCACTCGGGTTTTCAGCCTACGAGAATAACCAACGACTACTCACTCCGCCTTCTCTTGAACCTGATATTGATAATTCCCTATAACTTTTTTACGAGACAGCTTGGTAGAAGAGAAAAGAATGCTTCATCACTACCCCGGTACGTCGCACTGATGTCTTGCTGTCACGCATTTATTACGAGTCGCGCGTGGTGTATGGATACAGCGAAATCGCCCGCACCTTCGCAGACTGGAGCCGGTTACTCTCAGCTACCGACCGGCAGCATGTGCTGAATACTTTAGCCGTGGATTCCCTTAGAGTATCTAGGCTGTATGTTATATCTTTTCTCTTTTCATTTGTAAGATTACTCGGTTCATGGCCATTTGAAAACTGGACACCTGTACAGTCTGTTGATGTTGTTGAGGCAATGGCGATGGAATTTGGTCATTTAGTTGGTGGGTCCTTAATAACCGATAGGGTCACTATGTGGCTTTCGTACAAGAGCCCAGCCAAGGCAGTACACGGTGACATTGAAGCCTGACATCTCCATACGTGTCTGTGTCGGATGCGGTCCTTGTGATGATCGGGATCACCTAGGCATACTTCAGAGCATTTCATTGCCCCAGTTGAAGTAACTTGTTGGAATTTGAATACAGCAACAAAGTCCAATCTAAATCTTATTCGTGTTACTCAGTCAGAGTTCCAGCCTGTACGCTGGGCTACGACTTTCATTGAATCTGTTCTACGCATTCAACATACCACATGTTTATCCGTAGCCGGTGAGGACAACCTTGCTGATGTCTACTGACCGCTTTCTCTATTTCTGATGTGGCTCCCTTTATCAACCACATGTATCGTGATTTTTGCATTTGTATTTTCTTTATGCTTAGAAACAAAGGCTTGTTAGTACTGATAAACAGTTATTCGCATTGTTTACGCGGATGCAAAACGCCGATGTAGTCATTCCTGTCTTGTGCTTAATTTAGTTCTTCCCTCATGTCACTCCATCTTGCCTGTCCCCATTTGCTGTCTTCTAGAAAGAGGTCAAAACGCCTGACTCCGAGGATGCTGAATGCAACACCACGGCCTCACTCGGTGGCACTCCAAAGGACGCCTTGGAAGTTTGCGCCATATGTTGGGAGCCATTGGTCACTTGGAGACGTCTACCGTGTCGCCACGATTTTCACGAATATTGTCTCCGAAGCTGGCTCGAGCAGAATCCCACTTGTCCCACTTGTCGACGAGATCTGGGAATACCTCCAACTTTGCAGTCGAATCCGAACCGCAACCTTCAACCCAATCAGCTCGCTTTAGGCTTCTTGCTTCGAAATTTTGTTCGCCCAAGACAGCGGGAATTCAACCTACCACAGGCCGGTCAACCTAGCCCTGCTTCGATGACAACATCCGCTTCGGCTCCTCACGTGCTCGGTGTTCGTAACCGGGGTCTGTTTGCTGCTGCCGTTGGTTTGAACCTCGGTGTCAGTATTGGGTCCGACCCTATTGTCACTGCTGCCGCACAGACCGTCGCTAGAGAAACTGCTCCAGGGAGGTCAGTGGCCGGCGCCACATTCCCAACTGTGTCGGAGGTAGCTGGTCCCTCCTCTTCAACTTCTCTTACCGTAGCCAGCCCTGCGGTTCAGTCTCAACAGGTAGGTGACATCTCGCACGTTACCTTGCTTTCATTCTTTAATTGCGCTACCCTAATTTGCATTAGATATTTTAATCCTCCCGTGTTTCTATCATTTGTTATCTGTGGTTGCAGTTGGTTACAACCCAGTTCTCAAACTTTTCTGGCATCGAATCAGCTTGTTCGATGCAGATATGTCAATCATTTTATGTTCGGCCTTCCTTTTTCTTCTGCATGGGATTCTGGCTTACTATAATTTTATTCCCGTTAATTTTTCTTGTGCTAAGGTCCTTTTTCTAACTTGACTGTTTAACTTTTAATGTTAGTATATGTGACGCTGTTGTTCCACAAAGCGTGCCCTCTCTTTCCAGTGTTCTTCAGTACTTCAAACTCCTGCTGACTGACATCTAAAAAGTGAAACTAAACCCTGTGTAGAAGTACCCACGATCAAATTTGCTTTTATTTATTTTAGCAATAATTGAGCACAGTTCCTTTAAATCCTCTGTCAAAGCGCTTCCTTTTTCAGCAATATCTGCTATTTTTTCCATCGGCCACTGGCTATTATCCGTGTTTGCCTCTTGTGTCCTTTTGTGGCGGCTTGTTCGGCTTCATAGGGTTTGGCACTTTTGTTGTACTTCCGCATTGGTTTGATACTGCCAGCACATCTACGGGACATGGACTGTAACTTTGGACAATCGCGTCTGTGTGGTGTTTCAAGTTAGCGTCTGCTATTCGTTGGTGGCGGACATAAAATTAATGGATGGGGTCTTGCTCAATTTTATTGATCAACCTCATGCGTATTTCAGCATCCTCGAGCGCTTGGAGACCACAAGCGAAAACCAGCGCCTTGAACTAATCTTCCATCATCTCTTTAAGTCTAAAACGCTCACAGAGACGAATAAAATTACTTGCGTGAGTAACAAACTCATCTGAGGCGCACATAATGTGTTTCATGGAACCATAGCGGATGCTGAACAATGACTACTGTCCACCACAAACGTCGTTCAGCAGGTATATATATATATATATATATATATATATATATATATATATATATATATACCTGCTGAACGACGAGGTGATTATTCTTTCCTCCCCATGGTAGTAAAGTTCAGTTCAGTGGAGAACTAGAATCTTCGTTCTCCAGGCAACACCGAATCCTGGCAGCGAGATCCACTGTATGTCGGTGCCCGGGTTTTAGTTGTTCAAATGCACTTTGGAGACGTTCATCGTTCGCACTTCGACACGGCGTGGTCAACAGGTTACCCTTTCATTCACATCCCCATATGTTGATAGTTGACCCATGCTGTGACATTCCTGACTATCTGGTTATTGAGCTAACTGCGTGTAGCCTTTTTCCCGTCATTTGCTACATACCTTCGGAGAAGTTCGTGCAGCGGTTACGTGTTAAGCAGTAACAGTCATCCTCGGTTCCAGGTCCGCGTTCTCTGGCTAGATGACTTCTGGTGAACAACCATCTATGTGTCGCCCGCTTGACACCAACGTGGCATATTAATTGGGTGTTGTTGAACGTTACTTTCCCGTGGCTGTCTTAGACGTCCATCCAGCTGCGGCTCTGGTGTTACCAAGGACGCCTTCTACCTCATACCTGACACGTTGACAACCAGCACCAGCAATCCGAATGCATTCCTGATTTCAGAGACGCCAATGTTCTATTACTGTGTCCAAACTATTCCGGAAGTCAGTTGAGATGTATGTATGGGCTTGATTCCGAGCGTTTAGAGTTTATTGCGGCTGCATTCTTTTCCAGCTCTCTCTAAGACTCATCACCTTCAGGCTCAATATTTGCCGTGGTGCAATTTAGTGCTCTCTAGTAGCCGTCTGTCGATGGACCTACGCAGTCCGTATCAGCGTAACCTCCATGTGACGTAGCTTTATCCTTGGCTACTCCTCGCTGATCCTGATTTTACCTTAGTCTGCTGTTTCTTTTGCTTGATGTTTACCGAGTGATAAGGCAGGCACTTCCCCAGGTGGCATCCATGAGGCTTTTCCGGCATACTGTTGGACATTCCCGTAAAGATTTGTTTCTTCTACCTGGTTGCTCTGAGAATCGAGTCCAAGTACCACAGGGTTGCTGTTTACATTCCTAACGTTAAAACCTTTGATTCCAGCAGTATAATCCCTCAGCGCCTCAGACACCGGTTATCCGAAATGTCGAAATCTACAAGAACCCCCACTGGCTGTGCGACAAGACGGGTTGCTAATTGTGAGCTAAATCGGAGCCTGCGAAGTAACCAAAGTCCTGATGGAGTCTGGAGGATCGGGAAATGAAGAAGTTTCGCGGTATAGATACTTAAATCATACTGTTTCAACCCATCCTCGATAATGATTCCAAGAAATCACCCATCTGTGAGACAGTAAGGGACAGTTCCAGCGCTTCAATCCACAATATGGAACGTCTATTTCGGGCGAAAATCTTTTTAAAGCTTTTCAGTGGGCGTTATGCCTCGGGATCGCTTCTCACTCATATGGCCTTGGTTAGCCAACTTAATCCCTCCATCTTCGTCCAAGTTGGGATATGGCCATATCATTTAACCATTTCCACGCTATTGGCCTAGATTTTCTTCTGTTCCCACTAGTTATGGTTGGTGGTGTGTTCGGCCGCAATGATTGACCCACCTGCTCGCATAGATAAACTAGGGAGGCTGCTCCAACCAGCTTGGATGATTCAGTCTTACTGGGCAGCCTGACTGTATGCGGGCTACGGGGTTTTTATCTTACACCGTTAGTACCAGAGCTACTGGCACCTATAAGTCACTTTACTGCGAGACGGAAATCTCGTTCGCCAGAAGGAAGCTTAGCTTTCCGACCTAGCTAAGTTTGTATAGCTCGCATCTTCGCTCTGTCGCAGTGCCGATGCAGCTTCTCAGGGCTCATTCAAGTCAACCGATTTCCATTCTGTTCGAAATGCTTGCGTGTGGAGGTGTTCTGAATTATGTAAACACTTCACCTTTTCTCTACTGGGACATCTCGTATCATATCTGGATCTACGACCGATTGTCCGACGTCTTTCTGGCAGCAAGTAGCGCCCACATCTGAGTTGTCGCAGTTCCCTATCTTAGTCCCTTCAATCATGGTCTACATCACAAAGTTCTCTTGTGGGCAATTTCACAATGCAGCCGGGAAGTGTTGTCTAAAGGAGCCTGTTTGTTTTTGATTATGCGATCATCTTGTTCTTTAAACATCGACAGCACTGTGCTCTCTGGAGTGATAAAACTCTTATATGCACTCCTAACCCCATTGGAGTCCAAAATGTGATTGCAGAACTGCTGGCCGTTTCCTGGCCTATTGCTCCTTAACGACTATTCAATTCAGTTACCTCGGCAGCTGCGTTAGCATTGACGGTGTGTGGTTGTTGCAAATGGCTCTTGTTTTTTAAGCTGGGTTTATTTTCTTAAATTTTCGATCTCTAACGCCGATAGTGTATTGTTCTTTGTCTTAAGAACCGTGTATGCGGAGTCTTAGCGAGGACCGCTCTCCTACACAGTGATATGACAACAAATGTGTAATTATTAAACACCTTAAGGAATTTGACTATCGTTGCCTATGGAACGTTGTTTGTGTCGGGTTGTGCGGGATGGGATACACAGGAGATTAACAGTTGATAATGCTCAGATGTCTTCTTTAAATCAACTGATGGGACTTTACGTACTGCGCTGATCTGAGTACGTGCTACCTAGGCCTGCTCATGGTGTGCCGAGAACTTTAGTTTATATTTGCTCGACAGTGGATGTCGTACTGTTCGAAGGAGACGCACATTGACCTGGTAGACTGGACTAAAACCACTGGTGACTTAACAGCGTAATGTTGTCTTCCATCTCGTCTTATTCTTTAGTCTGCCCGGTCTATTTCGTTCTTGGTCCTGATCACTACAAGACATGGCCTCTGACCGGATCCATTGGTGTACCCGAGACTGTCTCCTATCCAGACTGTCTTTAAAGTGTGTATGGTGCTTAGTTTTCCAAGTAGTAAAGTAGACCATAGTGACGGTACTAGTGTAAGCCGCAAGGAAGTCACCTCTCGGATGCCACAATATCTCCACACCATGGTTGACCATTTGTGATCATATGATACTGGTAATCTATTGGCGTATCGGTCCTGAATCTTATCTGCCGGTCGGTGCTTTTAACGATTGTACGCTGGCCTTGTAATCCGGAGGCTACCGGTTCGAACCCGTTTAGGTGCTTGCGACAACCCACGCACGACTGATGGTGGTCGCGTGGCGGCGAAGCGTCGGTATCGAGTGCTGGCGTACTTCTCTCCGCTTATCCGACTTACGGTTACCGAAGCCGTAAAGGAAAGTGGAGCTTCCGATTAAAGGCGATAATCCATACCTACACTGGATATTAGATCAGAGGCGTGGATATGCTCAGTAATCAACTCTGCTACTGGTATCATGCCTCTGCGTATACTTCTCAAGCACATCCACACGCACCGTACTTTCTTCCCTGTCCTCAAATTAGTAGGTGGCGGTCAAATTCTTGCGCTCGCCAAATTGTACGCTAAATGATGCAGTCTTTTCCTTCTGAAACACTAACACTGGGAGCACCACTTGTTCCATTCGCTTGTCCAGGATTTGAAAAGATGATGGAATCGAAGTTGGAATCTGTAAATCAGGCGATTCCCACAGTTTATTGCTGACACATCATAAAGTCCATACGGTCCCTGCCAAAGCCGGGCTTTTTTATTCTTTATCCATCCATCTATGAATACTACTGTGGTATTATTTATGAGGAAATGCGGTTGGGCTATAGAAGAGCTCTAGAAAACCTCAAAAAGTTCTTCATCATGCATCTGTTTGATAAGGCGTCTATCTTGAACTATCAGAAGCGTTACTAGTAGTTTCGGCTCAAATGTCTTTAGTTGCGATGAATAATGTATAGTCTGATGCTTCTGCACAGTCTGATAAATCAGATGACCTACCCCGATTCGTCTATATTAGAGTTGCTTGTTCATTTTATTCATAAATTTCACAAATTGCACGTTTACTATACAAGGGACCGGGGCATGTTTTCGTCCCGGTTTTCTCCTCGTCAGAATAGCTAACATTCACAACCAGGCCTCGATTAAACCTGGGAACACCTAAATGTTTCCTCTATCCGAACTGGATAATGACCATGTTTTCATCGAGAAAATAGTCAAACGCATTTTCCTAACCTATACTGGGAAATAGATAGCCAGTTAGAACGATAACATAGTTAGACAGAGAAGGAAAAGCCTTTCACCAATAGAAACCATGTTAGCGACATAAACGCTACTGTATCCTTGACTCATACAAGAGCATGATTATGGCTGTGCTTAATACTCCCTCCACATTACATGAACGGCCTCGCTTGCTCCCACGAAAGATACTTGTTATTGTCAATACCATTACGATTGCTATTTGTCGATTGTTCTTTAACCTGTTCCGTCTCCGTTTAAGCTTTTCCCTGTATCACTCCCGCTACATTCGGCCTCCTCTTCTTTTATGCGCTCTAGTTACCCCGCACGGATGCTGCCGTCCCAGAGGATGCTGACCACGTTAGACGCCGTTCTTTCCACTTCGACGGTTCTCGCTACTTCTCATGGCTTCCTTCTCTGCACGTGGAATTGTCGGAGGTTAGTTTTTCCTCATGGCTCGGGTATCCAGCTTTTATATCACTGTTGACGGTTTTGAGGTCGGCTTCACAGTGTCAGAGCGTGTCCATATGGATCCTTACTGATCCTATAATCATCATCATAAGAGGCAGTATAGTCTATCAGCTCTCGTCACAGATGCAAACATTGAAAGACGGTTTTGAAAACAACTTTTGCACAGCGTTAGTTTGTACTACACAATCGGGGATAATTTCTTGCTAAGTAAACTGGGAAGAAACAAATAAGAATGAGGAACAAACCTCAGTAACAGAATTCCAATGGTCAGTCTTTCTCCAGCCTCGAGAGCGGCTTATGCCCGCGGTTTCTCGCCAATAGTTTTTGACTGTTGTCTGACTCGCAAGACGACAAGTCTGGCTCAGTACTGCGCTTGCAAAGTCCATTAATGATGTCCTTGACGCCGGCCGGACGTAGTCTTAGGTGTATGGGCACTTTTGTTTTTCCACTCATGAGCTCATGCATCCGTGATCGAATTTTGCTGGGTTTATTGCTTCTTCTCCTGCAGCGTTCTTGTTCGAGCTGGGTGATAGCAAATCAGTATCGATCATATCGCTCGGTCACCACCAAAACCAAACAGTGATGCTAGCACTACGCTGATCTAGTTGTATCTATAGCTGGTAAACATTCCTCCCGTCGTTGAGTTTTAAAGGATAGGGACCACCGACTGCTTCCCGACCCAGCCCAGTACTAGGTGAATGATAAGACTTTGTCTGGTTCTTAACTGCTCAGTATGCACGGTTCTAAAAGCATTAGGAAAGTATCAACTAGCCTGGCACAATGAATCACGGTGGTGTGCAAATCGTCGCGACAAATCAGGTTCGTTTTCATCCCAATGGACTTTGACTAGTGTTTGGAAGCGATCGCGACAGGTATCATTCAAAGTTCCTCACAACCAGGTGATTATACTGCCCCTTGCAGCATTTAGTCACTCAACAGGAATCGGGACCTCACTTTCCCACCGCATTGGGGACATGCGGGTCGCTATCCCTCCTTGGGAGCAAACGGCCGCATTTATGGTGACTATCCGTCTATCTCTGACTGTAGTGTTTCTAGGGATGCCTACTCCACTTGTTAGAGAGACTCTGCACAGTACTGTGCCACATTTGGTTTACACCTGTGTGTGCTTGGTCCATTAATTATGCCTTTCAGCTCCGACCGACCCATTTGCTTCATCATGAAATTGCGACACAATTGCTGGGGCATTTCTCACCTCCAGCTAACGTGTATGAGGAAGATGAGGATGGTCCGTCTGTCCAGCATTTCAGCGATGTCGGCTTAGCGTTGCTGGTATCGGCTAGCACCAGTGTGTCCGAAACGATGATGTACGTAAGCGAGTGCTAGGCAGTTTCTTAGAACAACAATTAATACTGTATGAGTTGCTTTGGCTTGGGCACATGCTACGTATGCCCGGTCACCACTTCCCAAGGAGAACCTTGTTTTATTCTGCGGAATGTAGTACGGCACAAGGCTCGATGTGGGCAGAAGCTAACTTGGCAGCATGACATGAATTCACTACCGAGTAGACTGGATGTTGTTGCTCCGTTCACCCTTCCAGGCTGGAGTTCACACGGTCCATCTTGTGCTCGGCTCGAGATATTACGGGGGACATGATTCACAGCCAGCACCAAATAGCACGCCTAGTTGGACTGTCTACTGGTAGCGTGTCTGATATTGAATTATCTGTGAGCTAAGTCTGATTGTGATCTGAGGCGGTGAAACCCGCCTTGTTTCCACAGGATAGTCAACTGTTTGTGGCCGTGTGTTGTCGTTTACCAGGGGTAGGCGTCTTGATCTTGAATTTTAGCCCAGGGTGTTTGAACTCGGTCTGTCTTCTTTTCTCGTATCATTCCATATTTCTCGGGTCATTGTGGTGGTACGACAGCGAAGCATCATTTGCTGATGATAAATGTCGACCTATCAGTTCCATAGTTTACTCTCACGTCCCATCACAAGGATGAGGTCTAAACGGTTTAGATCCATCGGTGTTGCTCCGATATGAATAACATTTTGGCACACACTAGATGTCGTAAATCCTTCTAGAATATTCCAAGTGACAACGCAACAGACTACTTATAATTTAGATGCTCTGTGGATTTAAAAGCTAGGACTAGACTTCCTTCGGTTTCCAGCTGTGTCTACACTAGAAAAAATCGTTACTACAGTGTACTACTAAAAGCACGCCTCAGCAACATATCCTTATATTTACTGGCTTCGACCTTAAATAAATAACTGATGTGTTCCTCGACAGTACAACCCACAGCCCAGTTGAGTGATCTGCTCAGTTTGTACAGCGGGGTCGCACAAAACAAATAAGTTGTTCAAGTCGTGATAGCAAAGCGTCGGTACCGGCGTACTGTTGACGTCCTTTTTCTCTTCGTTTGTTCAAGGCGGTTCGCAAACAAAATTTTGGAGCTATTGTTAGGTTAAATGTGTTAGAAAGACTGACGCGTTAACGGTACTGATAGATACAGTCATATCCTACCAGAGAAGCAATACAGTCATCCGTAAGACCGTCTCTTGGTGACCTGCTTCTGTGTAGGCTAGTCCATCGAAAGGTGGTCGAGAAGTTTTCTTCAGCCGAGGTTTGCGATTGAAACTGACATCGCTTATTACAATACGTAGGAAATCGATCCTTTAACCACCTCTCGACCGATGGCTGGGCCACGTGTTGCGCATGCCAGCACACCGACTCCCGCGACGTGCATTGTTTGCGCTTTGTGGGTGCGGTTGGAAGAGGAGGAGAGGAGGACAAGTGATGACTTGATCGAGAGAAATGAAAACCCTCACTTCGAAGTTGGCGTCGGTTGGTGCATCCTGACTGCCTGGCTGGGGTCCTAAGGACGGTGAACACGTTTGGTTGGACACACTTGCTGATATGGCTTGGAGCCGGCCCCAATGTTGTTTGTGTTGTGAGTTCCTTTGTCCATCCCTCTCCTGCTTAGCATCCCCTCCAATCACGATCTCCCTTGTCAGGCATAATATGACTCACTTTTACGGCAACCAGCTGTTAGCTCTCCGGAACGATGTCCATCCGTTACTGGGGACTCAGGGGGCGTGCCACCGTTTGTCTTCCTTTTCTTGGCTTTTGTGTTGCGGCACAATAGCTGAGGTGTTTTTCCACCTTTAGCTAACGTGATGATGATGATGAACCCTCTTTCGAAGGATCAAAGGTTATTTTCTTGTTACCGCTATCCGTCTTGTATATGTTTTCACACACTTCAATTTGGAAACCTTGGACGAAGCAGCTTTGCATGTTTTTTCGCCAAATACCGATAATCACTTTGGTGATAATACTTTAATGCGACAGCACACGTTTTATGGCTGTACACTGCTGATGGAACTCACATTTTCAGTTTTGTGGGTTAGTCACCGCAGCACAATCAGATACGCGTTTCCATTGGATTTTTTGCATTTAACATTCCATATTTTTCTTTTCCTGTATCTGATGTCGGTGCGCTCAGACAAAGCAGGGTTTCTATTCATGCTTTAATGCGTATTTCGTACTTCTAATTTTACCGCTATCCATTTGTCTCTTCGCCGCTTAACGGGGTTCTAAGGCGAGTTTTCCTCTACTCCGGCGTCCTCTTTTAACAAATTCGTATTGCTGTGCGGATGAACGGGATTCGCTGCTCAGCGCAGTTACGGTTCTGTTAATTTATGAGATGATCGAGTTATCGCTGTATCCACCCTTTCTCATGTTGTCTGTACTCTGACAAATCCACCCCCAGTCTAAACAAATGCTGTTCTCCCCAGTCTTGCTCACTTCATACCGACCATGGGTTGCGCTTAACCACCAAGTCACATCATTGGATGTACTAGGTGATCACATGGTATCAACCAGTCTTGAAGCGAAATTCATGCACCCTGCAGTTGTGTCAAAGGCTTGAGAACTTGTTTTCTCACCTCAGACGTGTTTTTCTTCCGGCCTAAAACTTGTCTGACGTGCGGAGTCCACTTTTGTTCCAATATGCAAAGAGCGTGTACATCCGCCGCAACTCTTGCTTGACTATCTTTGGAATCTACGGTGTTTCAAAACATTTGCAGTCGTGATTACTGTACGGAAGCAGCAAGAAGAGATATCGAATCAGTGGTCCGAGTGGAGTCGGCAAGGTCCGCGTGCATTCTATGCCATAGTATATCAGAAATGGACCGAAGTTGCGGTTCGATTCGAGAAGTCTTTTCAATAGAGCGGCAGTGCAAACAATGCTTAACATCGTTCTCGAGATCTGGACCCATATCAGGCCAATAAAGGCAACTACCATCAGCTACTTTCATACGTCCGGCACCATGATAGGCGTTAAGCTGTCGCAGGGCACTTGAGCGTAGGGATACGGATACGGTAACCCAATCAGTAAGCGTGATATAGGAGTCCACCACCGAGAGCGGTTCTCGCCTAAGCTAAAGCTGTTGGATGTCACCTGAGGTAAAGCCATTTGGACGGTGTGAACTTGATGGTTTGCTGAAGAGTTTGACCTCGTATGGGTCATGCTCAATGTTGGTAGTGGTTACTAGAATACCGCGGATACTTCGCCATAATCAAACGCACGTCCTTTTCGACAGCATGTGGTGCATTGACCAGCAAGTTGGTGTCCCTTGATTAGGCGAGAAAGAGCAACGACTTGATCAGGGTTTTGTGTATCGGCAAAGGATGTTACAGCCGAAGCCAAGCAACCCAGCGCTGTAAGCGGCCGGCAGAGTAAACGGGAATGAGTGCCCTTGGAACCAAATATAGGGAAGATTGGCTTGTGATCAGTTAACAGAGAAAGGACGCCCAGAATGCATTTTGGAAATTTCTAACAGCGAAAGGGATAGCCAGAGCTCCCTTTTCAGTTTGTATATAAATTTTATCAAAATATGTAAGGGAGTCTGCAGCATACATGATAATTTTTTTAACTCCACCAGGAAATGTTTCATAGATAACAGCACCTACATGATGTTTTGGAAATTACGTCTGGAGCTAGTAG